CCAATCTCCATCCCTGCTGTGCAGACAACTGGGTGTTCCAGCAGTGTCTCCGTGTGGCTCCTGCACATCTCAGCCACCCAAATTAGGGTTCAATGTGCTCCTGATAAGCCTTGGTAACCCTGAGAGGGGTGAAGGGACTCTCAGGTCAGCTGTTCCCCCAGGCAGGGGAATTCTTGTGTCGGCAGTTCCAGGCTCTAACTGCTGAGCTCTGTTTAGTCTATGGCTGTAAAGTAGCCTTGATTCTATTCTGGGAATATTTGTCTAATCAGGGGGCCAAGGAATGATTTTGCTCAGGAGAAAGTTATGTTTATTTGGGGAAGTTTCTCCTCCAGGTTGGGAGCCTTGGAAAAGCCCAGGGAAGGCTGTGAAGTGCTGCAGTGTCTGGGGGTGCAGGGCACACCTTCAGTCAAAAAGGCAAACTCCTTACTCCTGCAGAAAAAAGGAAAAAAGCTTTACACTCCTGGCTTCCAGCCAGCTCTAGAACGAAGCTCCCTGCAAACCAAGTTTTCCTTGCTGTGGAGCTACACCTCCCCAGTGCTGTGGATGCTCACCTGAGTCCTAGCACCACAGCATGGCATGGAATCGTCCCCTGGCATGGGATAGGCATGGGATGCCCACACTGCTCATTACCTTCTCCAAATAAATCTTCATCCAAGAGCTGCTCAGCAGCTTGAGTTGGATTTTCATGGAGCTGCTATATTCATAACTCAGCTGCTTTGGTCACACAGGTGACCCCAGCACCCATCTCTGACTGCCACGTTGGGAAGCTGATGAAATACTGAGCTGAAGGACACTTGAAGGGTCAAGGCCAACACCTGGGGCAGGTAAGACCTTTACCAGCCTCCCCAAGTGGTTCATCCCAACCTCCTCATCCCTGAGGGTGTGAGGTAACACGTTAGCATGTTTTTCCCAGTGGTCCTAACGGTTTCCACATGCAGGATCACCCCATATTTGGAACCTACCAAAGCATTCAGCCCTTTCTGGTGATTATTCCCACAGAACCCTGTCCCTGGGGAGCTTTGCCTCCTGGCTGCCTTCAGCTGGGTGAGCTTTGTCCCATGAATGAACCCAGAGCACCCACATCTCAGTGGACTTTGCCCTGTTTGCACAGGACAAACACAGCTGAGTTGTGACTACTTTGCAACTCAGCAACCACCAATTTTTAGTCCCGAGATAAATCCTTGTTATCTTCTGAGATAAAGTCCTCCCAGTTTTGGAAGGCACCAGTTTCCACATTGGGAAATTGCCTTGGGCAGCAGCAATGTCCTCACAGCTTCCTGCACTCAGCTGAGCCTCAGGATGAGCCTGACCTGGAATGCTGACAGTACTTGATCCCACCTGGAGTGCTGCACACAGCTCTGGTGTCCTCAACATCAGAAGGACATGGAACTGGTGGAGCAAGGCCAGAGGAGGCCACAAAGGTGATCAGAGCACTGGAGCACCTTCCCTATGAGGACAGGCTGAGAGAGTTGGGGCTGTTCAGCCTGGAGAAGAGAAGGTTGTGTGGAGACCTCAGAGCAACCTGCCAGGAGCTGAAGGGGCTCCAGAGAAGCTGCAGAGGGACTCTTGGTTAGGAACTGCAGGGACAGGACAAGGAGCAATGGGGAGAAATCGATAGAGGGAAATGTAGTTTAGATCTTAGGCAGAAGTTTTTGCTGTGAGGGTGGTGAGACACTGTCCCAGGTTGCCCAGGGAGGCTGTGGCTGCCCCAACCCTGGCAGTGTTCACAGCCAGGTTGGCTAAAGCCTTGAGCAACCTGCTCTGGTGGGAGGTGTCCCTGCCCAGGGCAGGGGTTGGGGCTGGATGAGCTCTGACGTCCATTCCAACCCCTTAGCATTCTATGAAACTGCCCCAGGCAGCAGCTCTCACTGTCACCCTTTGTGCCACTCATGGCTTGGGTGGCTTTGATGCCACTTCTTCTCCAGGGCTATCCCCAACCAGACAACCCACTGTGATTTCAGCAGTGCAGCCGTGGGAACATCCCTGCAGCTCTCAGCAGTTGTGGTTGGGCTGAGGCTGTGCCTCAAAGCAGGAGTTGGGAATACCTAATTCCCATTTCCATTGCTCAGATCTGTGGCATTGGCATTACAAGCCAGTAACTTCTTCTCTTTGTGTGACTGGATTTTGTTCTGAACCTTTACTTTAGTGCTAAATAGGACATTGCTGTGCTCCTTTTGCTGTGGTGTGAGCTCAGTGTCTCTAGCAGCTCCTGTCACCTAAGCCCCTGCACAAGGAGCTGCTCAGGGGCTGTATCTCCATCCAACCAACATCCCCCAGAACAGAACCTGGCCATGAACTGACTTCCCCATCCAGATGCTCCAAGTTCCTCACACCCTTCCCTCTGAGGCACAAAGCCTTGAAGAAGCTGCCACAGCTCCTCTCCTGCAGCAGAGGGGACAAAGCTGTGATCAGTGTCACCACTGGGTCCATCATGAAACCCATCCTGCTGCAGAAGGCATTGGGCATCCCAGGAGAACATGGCACAAGCACGTGGCACTTCCAGCTGCCACCCCAGCCCTGCCTCTCCTAGGACCTGAGTGCCTCCAAGCACGTGGGGATGGTGGTTGCTGTGTGACTCACCCTGGCAATAAATTCTCTTACAGCCATAACTCAGTTCCTGCCACTCTCACAGGGCTATTTCCATCTTCTCCAGGGATTCACCATTGCTCTGCCTGTCACACACACACCAGTGCCTTGTCCCCTGCAGGGATCAAAGCTGAGCATCAGCTTCCTGAAACACATCCCATGGAAGCTCCAGCCCTCCCTGCCTGCCCAGCTGCTTAAGTCCTGTAGGCAAGGCAGGTTTTAAGCTTGAGACCCAAATAGTTATGTGGGTTGGATGATTCTGGGCACCACCAACACCATGGGAAGGTCTGCTGCACCTGGCACTCAGGGCAGAGAGAAGGTAACAGCAGGTACCAAGCACCTTGGTACCTCCAGAGACCTCCCAAGTGCAGTCCCCTGTGGCTGCCCCAGGGAGCCTGGACACATGGACAAGTGAGGGAAACCAACAAAAGGACCCTAAAATAAATTTCCTAACACTGTTGGCTTGGGATAGAGTGAGGAGAGGCCAGGAGAGTGTGGGGGATAGAGAGAGGGGCAAGTACAAGAAAATCTCTGCTGACTCCAGCTATGAAGGGAAACCCTCCTGGCTGGGAAAGAGGGGACATGAAGGCTCTCAGCAGTGCCAGGGGAAAGAGGAGGCTCTGGCTTGGCACCTACCCACCTGGGCCCAGCAGTGAGGTCAGTGTCTGGGTCACAGCTGGGACACTGTCCATGGACCTTGACCCTGGGGTGCTGAAAGCATTCCCAGGAGAGCCACAAAGGCATCCCAGCAACCCTGCTGCCTCCAGCCAAACTGAGGGGAACCCTCAGCTCTGCCTCAGTTTCCCGACCTGTACATCACCTGCTGGTTGTTTAGAGGGAGACACAGACAGTTCCCCAGGAGAGATGGTCTCTGCCAGGGAGAGCTGTGCTCAGGTGGGATTGCTGCAGCAGCCACAGCACCTCCATCCCTGGGCATCACCAGCAGCACTTCTGGCCAGCCAACCCCCAGCCCAGCATCCCTGAGCCATCTGAGACCACCCACAGGCGAGTGGCACAGTATATTGCAGGAACCAGACACACCATGAACAGCCTTTACAAAACCTTTTCCTCACACCCCAGAGCTGCAGAGGGAGCAGCAGCCCTGCCAAGCCATGCACAGCCCTGGAATAACACTGCTGGGATTTTTGTGGCTGCTTCTGGAGTGACCCCAGAGAGACCTGGAGCTATAGGAGGTCACTTGTGTTTCTGGGCATGTCCCTGGTCAGAGGCTCATGCCCTGCTGTGTTTAAACAGCGACCACTGTCCCTGGGAACAGTCTCCTTGCAGGGCTACACCCAGGCCTGGCCTCAGGAGCATCTGGCAGCTGCTCCAGCACAAAAAAACAGCTCAGAAATTCAAGGATTTTCCCTTCTTTAGCCATGCAGTAACAGGATTTTATGTTCCTCAGTGAGGCAAAGGCTGCTCAGCTCACAAACACGCCAGGAAGAAAAAGCAGCTACAAGGAATGATATTCTCCTTTTATTTACCTATGACCATGACAATGTACTTTGTTTTCTAGCTGCAGAGATGCTTTGCACTGTAAACTGGGCACTGGGAGGCAGGCAGTCCATCCTGCTCTGCCAGGAATAATCCTGCTTCCCAAGACACAGTATTGTTATCCAGAGTCAGGAGAGCTTCTGCCTCACAGAGCTACTTGTCTCCATCACCAAACCCTCCGTCGTCAGGGCATGATATATACACCAGGCACCCCCAGCTGCCTGCTGCTAGGGGATGTGTCTGTCTGTCTGTCTGCTCACTTACAAAATGTCCACACTTGGAAAAAGAAAAGGCATCCACTCGGCTGGAGAACTCCACCGGGACACACACCAATATTGCACTTGTATTTGGGACTGGGGAAGGACACAGGGATTTCCTATCACACAGTAACATGTCCAGCTAGAGGAGGTCAATAAATAAACAGGGTGGGGGTGGGAAGGGGGTGGTTTGCACACCTCCAGCGCAGGGGAAGGACTTGGCCTTGGCTTTCACTGCTCCTGGGGGACCCACCACGAGCGAAGGAAGCGCTGGGCTCCTGCCATAGCTCCTTTGGGAGGCACCACAAGGAAGCACAGTGCTGATCCAGTTCGGAAGGCTTTGATCCAGGGTGATGGTTATGGTGGTGCTGTTGTCCCCTTGCATAAAATTCCTCCTTGCCCAGTTGGGATCACTCGTGGCCTTCCAGCAACGCTCACAGCTGCGCTGTGTGCGCTTCACAGTAGTCGTGTGGGAGCTTCCCTCCTGGCTACAATCCATGCCAGAGGCACCCAAAGGCGTCGTACCAGCGATGGGGAGATGGAGCAGTACCAGACTGCTTCGTGTGTTGGTCCCCCTGGCCCCATTCTTGGTGCCTTCAGTTACTCCACACCCATCCACCGCAGCAAGGGGCACAGGCAGGAGGGCACACTCCCACCAGCCCCCAGGAAGGCCTCCACTGCCCAATTCCATGTAAACACACAGCTCCCAGCCTGTCCTGAGAGAGTCCTTGGGCCTACAGTGGGGAACTGGCTTTCTTCTGGTTAATTATGTCCAAGTAGAGGTCAGAGCGGAGGAAGCGAGGGTAGGAGTCCTTCTCCATCAGCCCATAAATCCTCTTCTGCGCCAGGTCGAAGCAGCTGCGAGTGATGTTCTGCAGGTTCTCCTTGGTGTGCTCTCGTGTGTAGGAGTCCAGGTTGACCTGTGGGCAGAGAAACCAACGCTGGTAAGCCAACTCCCCACACAGTCACCATGCCAAAGAGCCACACACCAGTGCAGAGGACAACTCTCACCTCTTTGCAGGACTGGATGGCAATGTACTCAGCAAAGATCTTCTTGGCCTTGGAGACCATCTTGGACTGGGATTTGATCTTCTTGAACTCCTCACAGGCCAGCCAGAACTCCAGGTTCTCCTCGCTGAACTCGGTGCGCAGGAAGGCTCTGAAGGCAGCAAGGCCATCTGTGGGGACAGGGACATGGCTCTACTCCTGACCTTCCAAAGCCGCAGCCTAAACCACCTTCCCACACCACTCCTAAAACCTCCTTGTGCCACACAGGCAGTGATGGCATTGCCAGACCAGCAAAGCAACCCACCCATGTGCTGAATCCACATCCTCAGCCAGGCTGTATGCATCCCAAGAGGGAAGCTGGGCTGGAGCAAGGCAGCAATGGGGACAGGACCCCCTGCCTGCCTGACCCTGTGGGCTAGGTATAGCACATGACCATGTTTTGGTGTGCTCCCAGCTGTGGCACGTGAGAAGGGGATGGTCTAAGCAGCTGCTGCTCCATGGACCCACTGCACAGCTCCCAACTGGGCACAGACATGGATCACTGCCTCTTCCTCCCCAAGCTGGGGTGCTGCAGCCCCAACCTGCAGCTCTCCCCAGCCCCTGTCACCAAGCCCTACCTTGGCCAGGCAGGAGCAGAAGGGGCACAGGCAAGGGGCAGCCTAATTTCTCTTTGTCTATCCCCAAAGAGCATAAGGGATTGAGAGAGGAAATCCCAGCTTGATCCATGCACGTGTCTGGATATTCCCCTGACAGCAAACACAAGTGGAAGAGACACACATACACTTACATTTGTGCAGCAGCAGCTTCTCCAGGGAGTCTCCCCACTTGAGTGCTTCCTCGGGAGTGGGTCTGTGGGAGAAGGACAGTGCATTGGCAAAGGGAATCAGCAAAAGATATTCACTGCCTGCTAAACACTTCCAGTGGATAAATCCAGGCTGAGCCCCAGCTCCCAAATCAGCCTTCTGCTAAACATTTCCAGTGGATAAAGCCATGCTGTGTGCCCCAGCAAAGCTGGCCCTGGCTCCCACATCGGCACTGTGGGAGCAGCTGCAGGCAGAGCTGAGCCCCACGCCAGGCAGCACCACAGCAGCTCTGCCAGAAGGAAACCTCAACCTTTAGACTGGCAGGAAGAAAATCCGACCCAAGGAAGTCTGTGCAGGCAGCTGTGCCACTTGGGGTGTCTGAGTAAGAACTGGAAAAGCTCTGGGTGATGCCCAGGAGCTGCAGGACAGTGGGATTTCAGCCCTGGATAAGCTGCCAGGAGCAAGAGTAGGGAGGGCTCGTCTCCAGCTGCTGGAGCATCTCCAGGGCACAGTGGTTTTTCAAATCATCCTCCAGCCAGTTAAAGTTTCATATACAGGCACTGGGAGAACTCAGTCACCAGGTAAATTTCCAGTCCAAGCTGCTGCTGTGCCACTGCCCAGGCAGGACCTCCCACCCGCCAGGGTGGCATTTTCAGCCAAAAAAGATTTCTAAGGCTCCTCCAGATACACAAACTGCCTAAAGCTTCCACAAACAGGGGGAACACAGTCTTCCTGGAGGTGAGAAGCTACTGGCTGCAGCTTGTTCCCATGCCTTAAGGTCCTGATCCCTACACCCCTGGTTCCCACAGACCTGATCCCTAACCCTCAACCTCCACAAATCTGAACCTCACAGCCCTGATCCCCATTGTTCTGATCCCTACAGCCCTAATTTCTACAACTCTGATCCCACACTTCTGATTCCTACACCCCTGATCCCTACACCCCTGATCCCCACAGTCCTGATTCCATACCCCTGATCCCTACATCCCTGTTCCCACACCTCTGATCCCTATACCCCTGATTCCTATACCCCTGATCCCCACAGCCCTGATCCCCACAGTCCTGATTCCATACCCCTGATCCCTACATCCCTGTTCCCACACCTATGATCCCTATACCCCTGATCCCTATACCCCGGATCCTCCCAGCCCTGATCCCTACACCCTTGATCCCACTCCTCTGATCCCCACAGCCCTGATACTTACACCTCCTATCCCTACACCCCTGATCCCCACACTCCCCATCCCTACACCCTCCGCTCGCAGCACTTACTTGAGCGATTTGAGCACTTTGTCCAGCTTGCCGGAGGGGTTGGCTCCGGGAGACTCATTGCGCCGCCGAAAGATCCCCAGCCTGTTCTTCATGTCCTTGGCTCTAGAGGAAAGAGCAAGTCTTAGCAGGCAGCCAAGGGGTCGGGAGGAACACCCAACACCCAGAGCACCCACCGGCATCCCCATCCTAGCGCCCACCACCTACTCCTTCATGGTGTGCCGGCGCTGCAAGCTGCCGTTGTGGGGTCTCTGCACTCCCAGCAGCATCTCCGCGTGAAACTCCAGGGGCTGAGGTTTGGAGAGGTCACGGAAGAAGGGCATGGCTACAGGGACAGCCTGTGCGGCAGGGACCGGCACTGTGCCGCGATCCTGTCCCGATCCTGCCCCGATCCTGTCCCGCTGTGCCGCGATCCTGCTCCGATCCTGTCCCGATCCTGCTCCGATCCTGCCCCACTCCTGCTCCGCTCCTGCCCCGATCCTGCCCCGCTCCTGCCCCGACCCCGCCCCCTGCCC